TGTGACTGTTAGCTATGGGCATGGCAATGTTCAGTGCATAATATTGTAAGTATAGCAATTTTAAGAATTGATCATGATGAAGCATCAGCAGAGAGCAGCTCAAAAGCAACATTAATCAGGTACGGCAGCATGTGCAAACCATAGACCACAAGAAAGAGCACCTACTGTTATTGGTAAGACACTGAACTTTTAGAATTTTCTATGAGTGAAAGAGAATCCTGATGACACCGTTAACAGTGGAATCACACAAATTAATTTACCTCCCTCATACTTCTTTCCATCAAGAGAGAGCGAGAGAATCATTAGTATACTTCTAAACAGAAGGCAATGCAAGCTCTTTAACCACATACAGTTGAATCCACCGTACATAAGATCAACCATCAAAGTGAGATGAAAATGAGTGAGAGCTTCTCTATTTCGAATGAGGGTATCAAAGATATTTGCTTTAAGGAAATGCCTTTGGTTAGGTTGCAGGACACAAATGCAAAAGATAAGCATCAACTACAAGAAATCAACTAGATTGAACGAAACAATCATAAAAATAAATAAATAAACCTACCTTGCATAAGCATGACAATTACAAATGCCACTCCACTCATAGGCAGTTATAACAAAATAAAAAATAAAAAAAAGAATTGTAGCAAATTACAGGTTACAAAGACAGCCACTTTCAGGGAGTAAGGGCAAATGTCTTGACCATTTAATTCTGAAGTGTTTGTCGCATTCAATAGCAAGAATGCGTGTGAGTGTGTATTGAAATGAATAGCAAAGTCGTGGCTCAACAGGTATGAAGCTTTCTCAATAACATCATAATAATAATAATAATAATAATAATAATAATAATAATAATAATATAAAATGTTTAAGTTGAGGCTAAAATCAATTCTCAATGGTCAAACGTACAATTGGAGCCAATCTATTATATGCAGTTTTCAGCACTAAGTGAGAAAGTGACACTGCAATTGCATATATGAATTAGTTTAAACATCTTCAGATAGCTGATCTTTTAGCATAATTTACAATCTTAGATAATGAAAAGTAGCACCTGACACAAGACTGTCTCTGAAGGTGCAAACCTGATCGTGAATGGTTTTATAGCAGTATGGGAAACACATATTAACTGAAGCATGAGCACATTAAGCACACTGCACAAATATTACAAATAAAGATTCCTAATGGTCAGGGCAACCCTCCATGCTTTCCTTGTGAAGATTCTTCTTAGATTGGTATACTCTTACCTTATCTTCCCAGCTCTCATTTTCATCTTTATTTATATCATTGCTCTCCATAGGAAAAGAACCAACAACAGTTACGAACTAAGGTCAGTGAGAAAAATCCCTTTCTTAATATTCTTAGGTGACTAACACCAAGATAGGTTTTTTTTTTTTTAAATTGGGAGAAGGAGGATTCGAACCCTGCTATTTCTCTTGCCATTTCTTACCATTAAAATAAACAGCTAACCACATTAAACAAGAAATATAAATTCACGACATGAGAAATAATAATTTAAAAGAATTAAAATGAGCTAATTTTAATATTGACGATTGATCGATAACCCACAAAATGTGTGTACAAGAATCTAACTACCTAAACACAATTGCCCAGAAAATCTACAAAAGCAATGAGATTTCTTTCAAACATGAAGACACCAACACAAATTCATTAATGTTCATAAAGAGTCAACTTCTAAACCATAAAGAACATTCGCATACTTCTCAACCGAATCCTCCTTCCCAAAATACCTTTTCTTGACCTCCAACCAGGCGTCCAATGTCAGTAAGCTATCGGAACCGGCCTGATGACTCTTCCCAATCACGCGCTCCACTCCCAGTGCTTTACTCGCACGGTCAAGTCCTCCGTATAATCCAGCGCAGAACCTCATCAAGTGTTTGACATCGTAGACTCTGTCCCCAAAGAACATTCGCACGACGTTCAAGAAATCTGTGAGTTGGTGCGGTAATAACTCACCTGTTAAGCATTTCACAAGGTATCCGAAATCGTACGCGCAGTGGAAAGTCACCCACGTAACGGCTTCGTTTAAGACGAGTCCCGATGACATCATGAGTTCCGCGAACCGGACCGTGTCGATCCCCAATTCTCGGTTCTTTTCGAAATCTATGCCTTGACGACGAAGAAGCTCGACGGAATCGTGCGCGTGGGCATCATTTGCAACATTGAAGTCTTTGAAATTGAATTCCCAAATGTAATGGTTTTTTGTACCAAGATCTGGTAAATTTCCGTTGCCGTCCGATAAAGTAAGGCCGATTTGGATCAGCTTGAGTAAATCGACGTTCGCTTTGAGGCTTACGTAATGCGCCCTCGCGTCGCCAGGCCGTGCGTATTGGCCGCCGCCGCCCCCTGGGGAAATCGGTCTGA